AGGGTTATTTCAAGCCCAGCCGAAGCCAGGATATCGTGGTATGCTGCATCTCCCAAATTTGATGATCGTACACTCCCAAGACCCAGCAGTCATCGTGCCAGCAGCTAGATGAAACAAGACTGCAATACATACACTGCCATAGCTCCACACATACCCTCGTCCGAACCTAGCGAGCCACTAGGATTTCACGAGGGAGCCAAGTCCTGCTCGCAGGTTCGTGTGCGTGCGTGCGCTGCTGCTGCGTGCTCGTCATCGACACTCAGTGTGGATTGACATTATCAATGCGAAACTTCGTGCACACAGAGACCAGAGTGGTCTCAGCTGCTGTTCACGTCTGGTATACGCTAGTTGCAGCGCCCAGGCTCCCGCCTTATGTGTGTCGGTCGGGTGTGTGTGTGTATGTGTGTGTGCTTCTTTGGTATTTGCACCGGCCGCGCGAACCAACTGACCAAAGAAAAGACGTCACCCATGTAGACAGCGGCGATAATACGGGAATACGCGTTTGCGTGAGGTGCGTGCGTTCGTTTTTCTCGTCTTGTGGGTGGAAAGGAGCATCTCCTGGCGATTCGCCGTGCTGTTGGAAGCGGCTCGGGAGCCGCACCAGCCGGCCACCCAACCACAGAATGATGACTTATTTCACTTTTTCTTTCGTGTGTGCGCGTTGTTCTTTTCGTTCATCGTGCGTGGTCTCACGTCGCGGGACTGTTGCGTCCGGTCTCCATATCACCCTGTTTTATATTTTTTGTTCGCATTGGGCGGGAGTTGCGAGTTGTAGAGTCTCAAATTGCCAAGCATAAAAACCCCCCCTCCCCGAATCCATTCTTGCTAACTGCGGACCCCCTCCCCCCACCCTTGGTGTCTGTGGACCTCCCTCTCGGCGTGACAGCTTCTACGCGCCGATAGACCCCGAACACGTGATCGAGCGTGTCGACCCGAAGGACGCGGCGAGCATGCCCAAGTTCTTGCAACGAGTCGAGGTGCTGGACAGAAAGAGCGGGACCCACCTCGGACATGGTGAGATGAGAGCCGGGCGTGGCGACGAGACAAGGCCTGCAGTTTGCCGCTGTCGTGATGGCAGCTCGACGAGTAGCGTCATCGGCGTTGTTGCCTGCCTCAAGCTTTCCAGGACAACGGGTAACGCTAACAGTTCGAGATGCACAGACAGCGTGACACGCTCGATGACCAGAGCAGCAAATAAACACCTGCATGAACACGACGAGCCGTCTCTCGCAACCGAACACGACAATCTTTAGAATTATCATGCCTCCCCGGGCTGGTGGAAACCCAGCGGGCTTCTTCGGCCGGGTTTTGTTGGGACGGCCTGAGCTCTGTGGTAGTGGTAGGCCGATCTGAGCATCATTTGGTCTCCCCCCCCGTGGCACAATCACCACACTGTCTCAGCTCGAGGATCTTTGCGGCGTTCTTCCCTGGCCCGCCCCCTGTGATGCTCTCTCTCTCTCTCTCTCTGGCTGTCTCCCTCCCTCGTCTTGCTCTATGTCTTGCCCGGCAATACGGCGACAGTTTTCAACGACGGCCCAAAACCCACCGGCAAGCGCTACTGCATGAACGCGGCCGCTATGGCATTCATCCCCAAGGAGGAGCCGTTGCCAGTTAAGCCATCCTTCAAACCCTAATGAGGTGTTTTGAGGTGTTTCAAGTGGTGTTCTCGACGTTTAGAAGAGATGCAAAGTCTGTCCAGACCTTCCGCTCATCGCAACTCATCGTTGGTTCCAGCTGGATGGGGTTTCCCTGGACGGTGTGGAAAATGGAGGGAGGGATATATGGTCGGCATCATGAGCGAAACGGCATGATTTTTCGTTGCCTTCCTTGTTTTGCTGTAGTTGTCCCTGTCCGAGACCAATATAGACCAAGTTGGGCTCGCGACTACGCGAGCTTCTACAGCAAGCGGGAAGATGGTAAGTCTTGTCTGTGCGACCTGCGTCGGCTCTGCGATAATGGCTAAAGGAGATATGCCGGACTGGTTTGTAGAGAAAGCTAGGACGAGAACAAAAGCCGAACGTAGCGGTGGCTGATGTAGTTCGATGAGACACGAGCGAGCGCAAGGTTGTGTGCGCATTGGACGTTCGGTCTTTGCCTACACCCCTCGTCCCACCGTTTCAGTCGATTCGATGCGATGTTTTTCTAGACCAAGATCGACAAACAATTTACTCCTATTAATAGTAGAAACTTCCTGAAGCAGGGCTCACATCGCATCACGTGGTTACTCTCTGTAACTTGTAACCGCCGGGTGTTTTTTGTGGATGCGTGAGCGGGAGGCAAGCTTGGCTTCGGGGCTTTGGTCTGGTTTCGATATTTGTAGTCCGGTTTTGACCATTGGCACCCTGCTCGCCCGGGGGCGGGGGCGTCCAGCTACGCACGCGCAGGACCGCATCTCCGTCTTACGCACGCTGTTTTGACGACAATTGAACGCGGATTGACTCGTTGGGGTATGATCTGGTGCCGACGGCATGGGGGAGAGAAAAACGCGGCGTGCGATGTAAAGAGTGTGAGTCCGGCTTCTTGGAGCGAGACTGCGGCGTAGAGCGGTTTTCGAAGAGGTGTTTTCCGGAGTTTTTTCTCTTTGCGCAAGGTTTTAGCTGCCCCCGCCACTCACCAAACAACAGCAACAACTGGGTGGCGCTACCCCCCTCACTTAGATCGATCGTATGCAAAGCTGTGGTTACCCGTTGCCAGCGTAAAGATCCTTTCCCTTGGTCAGCCGATTGTCGCGCTAGACTTGCTTCCTCGCATGGAGCTCTGCCACTGAGATCCATCGTATGCATGTGCACAGGAGCTGCTGTGTGCTCGATCACGACTTCACTCTAGATGCCGCTAAGTAGAGAGACTGCTGTTGATGTTCTTCTCCGCTCACAGCATCGAACGTGATTCTGGGAAGTATAAGTATACATGTGTGCCTTGTCCAGGACAGCTAGATCCCCCTGGTGCACTTCTACATACAACGGACGCGGCCCAACTGATGCCTACCGCAAACCCCAACAGAATCGTCCAGAAGAGGCTTTACTCCATCAGGCTTCCCTCTTTGCTTGGAAAAGGCTGCGTGACGCCTAGTCAGCTTGTCGATCTCATATGAACCCGTTGCTTCTATCGAGATGTTGTGAGTATCTCGGTAGTATGGCGTTGACGTCGTTCGCAAACAGGCAGTGGGATCAGCGCCGTATTTGAGGTCGTCCACGAACAACACTCGGCGACGGGCGGCGTGCCTTTGGCTGGTTGGGCACCATCATCCCAGTGAGGGTTTATTGTATCAAAACGCCAGCCCCAACAAGAAATAGCTGGGGGTCCTGGAACGCAAAGGCCACAAGAATGGGGGTACATCGTGCTTACCTGCCACAGGTTGTGAGATCGACGGCATGTAGATAGATGCACCGCCTCTTTTTACCGGTGCAAACCAGAGACCATTGACACAGGCACGTCGCGGAAAGAAAGCCGGCGTCTGCTTCTTGTAAAATGGTATGGACTAGGACGCGAGAGCTCGCAATACGTCCTCAAGTCCTGGTCCTATGACAACTACAACGGGACCGACCCCCATCTCGAACAAAAAATCTACTGACTACCCCTAAGGCAACGAAAGCAACTCTGCATCGCTAACTACGCCTACATCCAGCCACTTGTTCCGCGTTCAACGTACGAGCACGTACAAACAAGGACAGCCGTGCACCAGTGACTGTCCGTGTGAAGCACAAGCATAACCCTTCACCCCACAAAAGCGCCATGCAAGCGTCGTCGCGAAGCAAGAGCAAACAGCTGCCAAGCAACGTGTTACGCACGATAAATAAACTGGAATGCTCAAAAACGAAACCAAGACAACATGCGACATGTAGACTACGGTACACACTGTCACTCTGTCGGACATTCAGCAACTAACGGTGATGGATGAAATTCTCGTTGCTGCCTTGTATGGCGGCCACCTTCGCACTGCCATACAACCCCCCTATCGTTGTCGATCACGACGATAACCCAAAAAGCGAGAGCTCGCCTCAAGTGCACCTGAGACATACATGTGTCCCTGGCCTACCGTCCAACACAGC